CCCCTGCATGCAGCGGTTATGATGTTCACATACAGCGCGTACTTACATTCCCCACATGCGGTATTTGAGCAAAATGTCTATTTGCGCGGGAAACATCGGAAAAGCGCCACGGCTGTGGCGCTTTTCCAACATTTTATTGCAATTTTTCCGTCGGTACGTTTAGCGGAAGGAGAAGGCGAGAAGGTTCGAGCAGCTGATTGAGAAAGGGCCTCGTTGTCTTGGCGCGCAAAGCGTATCGCATGAATCATAAATTTACGAATAGGTAGCGCAAGCCGCCGTCCAATTAAAGGAAAAGCCGTATTGCAGCTGGATATTTCCATTGGTTTCCGTGTGCGCAAACCTATCGCCAACGACAACAACTCAGCTAGTTTTTGTTTTGTTTCTGATCGCAAATTAGGGGTGTCGCGAACCGGCCGCGGTTCGAGTTCAACCAGGTTCGACTTTTTCGACCTTTTAGTGGAAAGTTCGTCGAACCTTGTATTGAGGTTCGACTCGTCTGCGCATGCGCGACGGGCTAACCAGTTGGCTTCGGATTGGATGGTGATGGCTAAGAGATGAATTAAGTGCAGCGCTGATCCGCTATTTCAGTCAATACAGTACTAAAATTTAAGTTATTAACTTCTTCAGTGAATAGAACAGGGGGGTAAAGGCGGGTGAGGAGGAGTGGCAAATCCCGTGCGCCGACATCCTGGGTCCCGAGTGAACGAACGCAAAAGAGAGCGACAGAACACGAGAGAAAGAAAACAACGTTGCCATGGTAACGCGAAGGGTGAAAACTCTCAGCAATATAAACAGTAATAATTTAACGTTGTAAACTAAATTATGAGCTATTCTAACGCTTATAAAAAGCAATGAACTCATTACGCTGCATTAACTTCTCTTCTGTCGAAATCTCGGAAATCTGGTGGTTGCGCAGTTTCGTATTCTTCAACCGCGCCCAGCCGCGCCCCACCGGCGAAGCCGGGTATATGGTTTAGTTTAGCGTTAACGCGAGGCCGTACATCTGCGCGCTTTTCAAAAAGAAAGCTTCGAAAGGAACGTGAATATCTTTCCACCGGTAAGTTCGTGAATTGTTGAAGTTCACGAAACTGCTCTGATGATGTAACCGTGTTTGGGACCCCGAGGGTCTGCCTGCAAGATCCGCCGCTTGCGGCAGCCAGAATGTATGGGAAAATGGGGACCTTTTCCTCTAGAGTTAGTATGTATGATCTCTATGGAATAGAATTAGTTTCTTTCAATTGCAGCTGTTCACAAAATAAAATAACCCTTTGCATAAAAAAAAAAAATTCTCCAAACCTAGACATACTTGTATTAAGGTCTGGCCACACTGTCCACAAAGTCGAACCGTTTGTTTCTAGCGGGTTCGTTTCACGGCACTCGTGCCCACGCGTGCCCACTCGCAGCGCGGAACGGGTTCGTTTTGGCTAGGGGTGTCGCGAACTTTTGTCGAACCAGATTTTTTGGTCGAACTTTCAGGGTTCGACTGGGTCGAACCGGTTCGACGAACCTTCGAACTTTTCACCAGATTCGACCGGTTCGACTTTGTGGACAGTGTGGCCAGACCTTAATACAAGCATGTCTAGGTTTGGAGAATTTTTTTTTTTATGCAAAGGGTTATTTTATTTTGTGAACAGCTGCAATTGAAAGAAACTAATTCTATTCCCTGAAGAAGTTAATAACTTAAATTTTGGTACTGTATTGACTGAAATAGCCGATCAGCGCTGCACTTAATTCATCTCTTAGCCATTACCATCCAATCCGAAGCCAACTGGCCAGCCTGTCGCGCATGCGCATACGAGTCGAACCTCACTACAAGGTTCGACGAACTTTACACTAAAAGTTCGAAAAAGTCGAACCTGGTCGAACTCGAACCGCGGCCGGTTCGCGACACCCCTAGTTTTGGCCGGCGCTCCACGAGTGGTTGCACTCTCCGAGTTCGTTTCAGCGCTGACACCCCACGCGTGCATGCACTCGCTGCACCGAGAAAATCGGGAGTGCGCCAAAATGCAATCCCGTCATGCCTCGCTCCGGTGGGGCCGGCGAGGAGCGGTAGCAGACGACGAGGGTTCGTCTGCTACGATGTGTCGCAGAACCGAACGAAAAAAAAAAGAGTAGATTTTCTGATAGAAATCGCGTCCCGCGGGCTACGAAATCAAACGCGAGCTTGAATTGTGAGCGTCTGCTATTTCACGAAAGAAGCAATTGACAACCCGTGATTTATTTGCAGGTTTTAAATCGCTCTGTTGCCGTTCAAACGCTGAAATATACCTGTGTGTAAAGAAATGCTCAGAACAAACGCAACAGCGGCCCCCGAGATGTCTGTCACCATCCGCGTGCGGGTGAAAAATTTAACATTTGCCGATAAAACTCCCCCAGCAGAAACCTCTGACTTCCCAATAAGCATCAGAGAAAGCTAAAGATGGTGACTTTACCCGAGGATTGGGCAACATCATCATGTTTAACATTTACCTACGCAGCTAACTTGCCCCGTCGTATTTTGTTCGAGAAAGCTCCCGTTCTCGACACCCTCACCAAGGCTAATATCTAATTCACCTATAATGACGATCCAAATCGAAAGTCCCAGTTTTGCTGGATATTCCAACAGGCTAGTTTTAAGCCGTAGCCTTTCAGTGGTTCACGCATAATACCATGCTCAAACGGATCAAGCTTCTGCTCGGACAGCATCATCAGTTTTCTTCAGTGTAAACGGTTATAAGGATTGAAAGATCGCAACCAGCTGCTTTGTAGACAGCTGGTTGCGGAAATTTACGCCGTCTGTAACTATCTCTTCGGCAGCCGAGCTGCTTGAAGACATCGCAACTATAAACTACAGGTTGCAGTTGCCAACGTTTGTAGATAAACGTTGGTAGCGACTGCAGTCTCGCATTCCCGCGCATCACTCGGAACAGAAAGGCGCTAGTTTCGGTTTGAAGTCGGTACCTTTTCTACAACATAGATGGCGGCAGCATCAGTCTTCTGCACTCGGTGCATTTGGCGAGTTCGTTTGAGTCCAGTTTTCCGTGCAACACTTTGTGAGTGCGATGCATTCTGGGAGAGAACTCGAACGGTGCCAGTGCGTGTGAAACGAACTCGCTATCAGGGGAGTAAAGGTGGGTGAGGAGGAGTGGCAAATCCCGTGCGCCGACATCCTGGGTCCCGAGTGAACGAACGCAAAAGAGAGCGACAAAACACGAGAGAAAGAAAGCAACGTTGCCATGGTAACGCGAAGAGTGAAAACTCTCAGCAATATAAACAGTGATAATTTAACGTTGTAAACTAAATTATGAGCTATTCTAACGCTTATAAAAAGCAATAAACTCATTACGCTGCATCAACTTCCCTTCTGTCGAAATCTCGGAAATCTGGTGGTTGCGCAGTTTCGTATTCTTCAACCGCGCCCAGCCGCGCCCCACCGGCGAAATGCAAACGCGAGGCCGTACATCTGCGCGCTTTTCAAAAAGAAAGCTTTGAAAGAAACGCGAATATCTTTCCACCGGTAAGTTCGTGAATTGTTGAAGTTCACGAAACTGCTCTGATGATGTAACCGTGTTTGGGACCCCGAGGGTCTGCCTGCAAGATCCGCCGCTTGCGGCAGCCAGAATGTATGGGAAAATGGCGGACCTTTTCCTCTAGAGTTAGTATGTATGATCCACTGATCTCTATGGTATGATCAACGAGGTGGGTATTAGAGCACTATATAGCTCCTTCGGAGCAGAGTAGCGCAGAGCCGTTTATCGAGAGAGTTTGGCCATACATTGGTTTGAATAGGCGAGCATCTCAGGGCCAATCACAGGCCGCGAAACAGCCCCTAGCGGTGGTCGTGAGCTTTAAATTTGTGACACGACTAATTCAAGCCGTTTTAGCGTCGCTAGAGTTAAAAGGTGTAACTCTCAGTGACTGAAAACGTTGTGCGTGCGAGGTTTTCGTCACGCCAATATTCAAGTGTAGAATAAACGAACTTGCGCTCCAAACCAGGGCCAGCTTGCTAGAAACAGCGTCTCAGCTGAGACGGTGAAAGAAAGCACTGCCAAAGCCAGCGCACGAGCCGAGCGGGACACCGCGTCTCCAGGACGCTGTTCTAACAAGCGAACATCAGCAGTGCAGAGAAAGGCATGGGCACGAGCGCGTGGCTTTGGAAAGTGGCTCCTACGCACGAGTTCACATACAAACAAAAGCGTTTTGCTGAGCTAGGTTCACGCGCCTGTACCTTTTTCTTCACTGCCGACATTTGGGAGATGGAGCAGAGAGGCCGAGATTGAACGCCTCTATTTCACGCTTTGAATGTCGTTTGCAATATTCTGACGTCGCGGTCTCCTGATTGGTCGACGCTGTGTCACAAATTTAGTTTACGCTCTAAGCGCGGGGGGAATATTCGGCGCTGGCGGCGGCCTTTGCTCCGCCTGTTGGCCAAACTCTCCCAATACACGGCTCTGGAGTAGCGCAATCTAGAACGCCGCCTCTCGGCGACTAGCGGCGAACGCCCGGAGGTTCCAACTGCGGTCAGAAATGCATGGAGAACGTGAGAAAATTGTTGTTTCTTCAGTATTGTGGGGATGTACGGAATGGCAATCGTTTTTGACATAATAATGGAACATTTTAGAATAATTTTCGCTAAGTTTTGTGCCCCACAAGGACGTGACTTTTTTTTTTAAAAATTGCCTGAACGGCATCATGCAGCAGACGACACGGCGACGTCACACCATTCACGTGACCCGCTCCGGCCAACCCGAAAAGCCCATCTCCGCTGCGAGCAAAAACCGTCTGCTTCAAACGCCATTGCCTCGGAAATTGCGTTCTCAAAATTTTCACACGCATCCGATATTATTAAAATTTTGATAAAATGTTTAGTGCTTTACTAACTTCACGACAGACTAGTTTTGAAAAGTGTGAACTCACCGCTCATTTTTTAATCAGCCGTGTTGTGTCGATCTCCATGTATTCTCCCATAGGGCGGGCCGCCTCCTGGAACCCTGAGTACCACGTGACTCGCGCCGATCCGCTCTGTCGGCCATGTTGTCGGCAAAACACGGAGTTCAAAGGATTGCGCTACTCTGCTCCGTAGGAGCTATATAGTGCTCTAGTGGGTATGATCTCTATGGTTTGATTTTGGTGAAAAGTCGAAGGTTCGTCGAACCGGTTCGACTTAGTCGAACCCCCAAAGTTCGACAAAAAATCAGGTTCGACAAAAGTTCGCGACACCCCTATCGCAAATCATGGCAGCGGCCGCAGCGTGCAATGTGGGCCGACTTTCGAGTCAGAAAACGGCAATTTTCCTCTGCGACATGCAGGACAAGTTTCGAAACACCATTCGATACTTTCCGGAGATTGTAGCCGTTTCGCAGCGACTGCTCAAGGCTGGCAAATCCCTCGACATGCCGGTCATTGTCACCGAGCAGTACCCCAAAGGTTGGTGGCTATCGGTCGTTCAAAGTGTACCCGTAGATAACGGCAGACGCTGGAACGCAATGGCAACCAAGGACACTCCATTTAAAAGCGAAATGGGCATGAGCCTGGACAGGTTGCTGTTAACTGTAGTATGCCAGAGATTCCAGTAATGCCGCTTCAAGAGGTTTATTTAAAACTATACAAATGCTGCACCGTCACGACCCAATGTTCAGGCCAGACAAATGCAAACCAGCAGTCTCGCTCAAAACTAGTTTATCAGGAGAAAAACACAACGAAAGGAAAACAGCTGACGGGGTTTGTTCTCCACATGTGGGCTCTCCAGTCGGCTTCACTTATCACGGCCGAGAGAATTAACAGCCTCCAGCCGGGCAAATTTGCAAAAAGCGTAGCGCCGGCGCCGAAAGGAATGCCGGGAACTAGCTGTAGCAGACTACAAAAGTTACGCAGGCGAGCCACTGCGCTAATCACTCTCTTCAATGTCGCTTGGTTAAGAAAATCGGAATAAGCTCTGGTAAAAGAAACGCTGGATAGGAGGCGAGGGAAAATTGAGCTTATCCTGCTTTTCTTTACCAGTCTAAGGGGGCAAGCATACAGCTCGTTCCCATCATTCGTTGCGCGGATCAAGCGGCCTTAAGGGATTTTAACAAAAGGTCTGTTGGCCTGTGGGCGTACAGGGCTGGGCCGCACGGTGCCCGAGCTGGGTCTATCGGCCTACCCGGACCTGTGCCCCGTGGAGAAGACCCAGTTCTCCATGGTTACCTCCGACGTGGCGCAGCGGCTGACCGACACAAAGGCGGACTCCGTCGTGCTGTGCGGCGTCGAGACCCACGTGTGTGTGCAGAACACAGCCCTGGCGCTTCTTGAGAAGGGATTCAATGTGCACGTCGTCGTGGACGCCTGTTCCTCGCGCACCATGGTCGACAGGTACCCTCGCTTTGCGTCATCATACGGCACCATAATGGAAGCGTTTTCTATAGCCTCAGGGTACGCTCCACTCTCAGCTAAAAGGGACACACTCTAAAAATAATGGCAGTTTTCAAACCGACAGCGAAGTCTGCAAGTTAAAAGAAACATGTATCGAGCACACGAGAGGCAAGTCAGAAATCTGGAATGTCGGTGCATACCAGAAGGGCAGGACTTTGTGTGAAAGCGTCAAATACTCTTGTGCCATGTTTACCCGTTACTGAATTGAGTTGAGCACATTGGCACTTACAAAAGAATTCTGTTCCGGCTTGTGCAGTTATTTTGTAAGGTTTCACCTGTTACATCAACAGAATTAACATGTTTTGCAAAGGCCGAATGAAATGTTTACATAATTATTTTCACTAGTCACCCAATGGTTTTACAGCAGTCACTCGCCTGTGAAGACAGTCCAGTAATTGTAGAACACCGACGAGGTGGGCACAGAAAACGAGTCGGTACATACTCCCAAAAGCACTTCTCAAAGTTTTAGGTTTGTGCCCGTGTTAAACATAATTCTGCACCATCTTTCTTGGTCTTTCAGACAATGTCGCAATGAGTTTCCAGTCACTCTCCAGTTTTAGTAGATCTTGCCATCAGCTGTATCCTTACGTGGCCCATTTCATCGATTTCCGACGCAGCAATGTGTCTCCGATTGGCAGCATTTGGGAGGTTCCTACCATCGTACGTACCCTTTGTCAAGTACAAACCCGAGATAGCCAGGACTTTTGTTCGGGGGGCGGGGGCCCCCCGAACAAAAGCCCTGGCTATCTGCCTTCTCAAAACTGTAACAAGTTACTCTGTACTTCGTTTCAACTTGACGCATTTTTAACAGCTACTGGAAAACAGCTGCTCCGGCCTGAATCACGGGAGTTTCTCTCGCAGGTTCTTTGGCTTTGAGCGCATGAAGGCCAGTGGTGCCTGGCTCACTACTAGCGAGAGCGTCATCCTAGGCCTGCTGGGAGGATCGGCCCACCCCAAGTTCAAGGAACTCCAGAAGCTCATCATGGAACCCGCTCCAGACAGTGGCCTCCTCGGCTTCCTCAAGATGTGAACTCTACAAGAGACGTTGGAATCTTCTACATTGACCAGAATCCCGTCTTGTACTTGTTACCCAAGTTACATCTTATTTGTTAGAACCCATCGGGTTAGTTTCTGGTTGAAAGTTACTTCAAACTGGGCGGGCTATTTTAACCCACGTCGAACATTAAAAAGAAGGTGCTGCAGCCTTCCACGGCACCATGCATGTTTTGGAGACACTGGTTTCTGTCTTGTGCTCCTAGTCCACACAGAGTCCAATGGAACATGAGAAATACTTTTTCGCAGCGGAGCCGTTAAGGGCTAGTTTTCCCAGGATCGCGATGGCAGCAACCTTTCGAGCCTTTCCACTATCTGGCTTGCCGACTTGCGGCCGGCCATTACTTCGTTTCCACCATAGTACAGCTCCGCTGGTTTGCCTTCTTCACCAGAGTGGAAAGGCTGAAAGTTTTTTATTGGACCCCTCTCATGAATTAAAAAGTATACCTACACCGGAAAATGTGATATGCTGTACACAGCTGGCTCAGAGTGCAGAGTTGTCAAATAGCCTCCTGGTAACCATCTGCAGTTGCTGTATGCTCCGGTGCACGGAACTTAGTGCTGCATTGTGGCAGCCTAGCTCTTTGTCAGTGCAGCATCTCCTACACTCTAAGCTCATTACAGCAGACCTGGTTACAACAAACAATTGAATATAACTTACCGATTTGTGATGTTTAGTTGGTTTTACTCTACATACCATTGACTCCACTTCATATCTGCATACAACATACTCCTCTTACAACAGACCGAAATCTTGGTCAAAATCAAGGTCTGTTATAACGAGCTTTGACTGTAGAATGCCAGATTCGAGGATAAATAATTCTGCCGGAGACCAATTGCCGAGAGGCCTACACCAGTCGGTCTCCTGCATTTTCCATCTGCAGAGCCACCATATTGCTCTCAAACACCCCGGGACAGCATGCACGGGACAGGTCCCACCACTGGCAAATTTCGGACACACTACCACAAGCCTTCAGCGGTGTTGCCTGAAGCTCCTCTGTGCCAGCGCTGACACCACCTTTCAACTACTTTTGAAAGGTGGTGACAAGTGTTGTTCCTTGTTTGCACTGCTGGACTGTAGGGGGACAAGGCTCCGGATGGCATCGTGCCCCCCTTTATCTTTGCCCCCCTACGCAAATGTTATCCGCAAAACAAACTAAGGGAAAAAAAAAAAGCAGCAGTTGTTTTTGTTTTTGTGCAGTCAAGGAGCGTCGTCTGCAGCCAGCGTTTTTCGTCAGCTACATTAAAAGGGGCTTCTGGTTGGCAATCCTCTTATTCTACACTAGGAACAAATCATAGACGCATCAGCACCAGTCCCGATTTCCATATGGATTCGGGCATGAGAACTCTACCTTTTTAAGTGAGGTACACCTAATCAACCCCGAGGCACATGCACCCAAAGCACCCGACCACGCGCCGTTAAATGGGGGAAAACGACAAGTCAGTTTATTGTAAGCCAGGGCCTGCAAACAAGTCTGTACGTTCAACACCTACGCGAGAAATAAGCGGGAGGGGGCACCGCAACTGCCCCCGCTTCCCACACGCATGCAGTAACAGAGGGAGCGCTATGGCACAGCTGCAACGAGGAACCCCGCCCAACAACCACGGGGCAACAACCCGACAAGACTGTACAGGCCGTCCGAGCAAAACAAACAAAACAACTCGAGATATGTGAGACGCACGGGGATCCGACGATGAAAAACGTCTTGCGCGAAGGGGCGCAGACTCGGGGGAACCAACGAGGCCCCGGCCCCGAAACAAGATTGCACCGTTGCCGGCAGGAATGCCTACCGCTAGCGAGAGGCTACCCCCAGTGACGCGAGACGCCGCGACGGGCACGCGCGGTGCCGCTTTTCCTACGCACGATGGAATGAAGACACGAGTACAAACACGGCCCGCATCTAAGATGGGGGGACTTAAAAAGGGCGCCTCGGGAGGAGAGACCGGAGAATAATAAATACTGCGCAGAAACTTCAACGAACCAAGTCCCGTCTAGGGCTTGTGTGCCCTCGTCAGTTCGGACGGTGCCTTGGCATGCGGTGCCCCGTGAGAGGCAGCCTTCTGTTCGGCGTTCTGTTTGAGCGACTTCTTGGAGTCCGGCGGTTTCTGTCCCGCCGGCTTGGTAGCACCACAAGAACCACTGTCCGGTTGATTTGTCGCAGGTGCCGCCTGCGCCGTCGAGACGGCCGACGGCGCGGCCTCGTGACCGGTTTCGTCGCTCTCCTGGCTGGGGAGGGGCGTGCTCGGAGTCACCTTGAACGATGGGACTTCGCCCGGCGCCAGTGCGTCGCCGCTGCGCTCTTGATGCATTGCAGGGGGCGGCAGTTTGGCGACCGCCTCTCCCGAGAGAGACTCCACTTCGCTCTGCGAATGACTCCGTGCCCGCGGCCGCTCCTCGCCGTTTTCGGAGCCGGGAGCCGACAGCGTGCTCGCCGACTTGGGCAGGCGGGAGCCGCCTGCCGACGAGAGGGCCACCACCGTTGTCGCCTTTCCCGTCGCCAGTCGTGGAGGCGAGCCCCGCGACGACGGCGTCGACGTCAGTGCCAGCGGCGATGCGTGGCTGCAGAAAGACTCCCGCCGTGCCTTTGATTCCGCCGACTTGGGATGCAGCCGGTCGGGGGACAGCGCCCTCCTGAGGAGTGGCGACCCGGGCTCGGCGCTCTTGGGGCGCATGAGCGACTTGCGCGCCGACGCGGCCGCGGCCGGCACCAGTGTGGGCGGCGACGGTTTCCGTGCCACCGCAAACACTTGCGGCGCGGCCGCCGGGTGGTGGTGGGGCTGGTGCCCCAGCGGGAACGCGAGAGGAGACGGCGACCGCGTCGGACTCATGGCCGGCAGCGGGGAAGGCGACGGAGTTCGGGCCAACGGCGAAAGCGGGATGTGTCCCACCGACTTGCGACGGGGAGAACGGAACGTCTGTGCCAGCTTGTGCTTGAGGCCGTGTAGTGAGCTGGGGCGCTGGAAGTGGGCCGCTGCCACGCCGGAAGGTGCCGCGGAAGTCGCCGAACTTCCGGCCGGGGAGTTCGGGACGCTCGAACTGGGAGAGCTGCTCGGCGATGAGTTGGTCGGGGAGTGGGAAGAGTCCGACGACGAGCGTTCCTTGAAGCTGGCCCGGGACGGCGGCGAGGCGCTGCCCGACTCGGCCAGCGACTGGAAGCTGCGGCTTGGGGCGAGCCCCGCGCCGGCGAGCTGCTGCAACTCGGCGCTGGCACGCTTGCTGCTCAGTCGGCGCAGCAGGGACGCCCTCCGCTTCTTGTCCTGGGTCTTGGCTCCGCCCAGGGCCGGTGGCGAGCCTTGGAGCTTGGCGGCGGCCATCGTGGGTCCCTGAAGGTGACCGGATCGAGAAACACTTTCGTGAAAAAGGGTGGAACAGAACATAGTGTACAATGATTCGTGGTTAAAATCGAACACTTGAGACTGCTTATGGCTTCGTGATACAGGAGAACACACTGATGCTATCTACTAGGAAACGCAACTCGAGAAACTTTTGACAAAGTCAAACGACCACTTCTCATAGACATACATTTGACCTCGCAAAAACCGCAAAACCTTCGCTCTAGTGAAATGCAGTTCCAGGGTTAGCTCATAGATGGTCTTAGCGTTGCCAGTCTCTTGTTCAAGAGGTCGGAAGAACTTGGTCGAAAGCAAACGCAAGCGTGTGAACCAGGCACGTAGCCAGAGGGGGGGGGGGGCCGTGGGGCCCAGGCCCCCCCCCCAAATCTTCCATTTTGCTGGGGCCTCCCTGCCCCCCTTGCCCTCATACAGCATCTTGTGCTGTAAGAGCCTTACCCATTTGTATCACGAGCAACAAAAAATGCATCTTGGTTTTTTTTTTCCGATGTATGGTGCGCTGCGTCGTGAATACCCGGGGCAGGGCGCGTATCGGGTCCCCGTTTTTCAGAAATTTTTCAACATTCCACTTATATTCATTACAATCAATGGGCGACACGAGAGTGAGTTATCGCGCATCCAGCCCTCTTCAAACTTGGCTAGGTACTTGTACGTACCTTGTAGAGAAGGGTGGCTAACCTTTTTCTGGGATTAAAGTTAACAGACCTCGAACAAACGGGCTCTGGGAACCTTCCGACATACAACCGTAATCTCGGTTACACGTCGATTTTTCAGCAATAAGCCTCCATCAGATTGCAGGCACCTCGGTCATAGTGTCACAGTATAGCGGCAACGCACAGTACAGGTTCCAGTTTAATGCTAACCGTAATGCATCGGTACAAGCCAAAAAGTTTTTCTTATTTTGGAGAAAATATTTTTCTCCACGCCGCCAAATCTGCTCGTCACTCGCTAGAAACAGTTAGAAGTTCCATAGCCGATAGGCCTGTAGCTCTCAAGTTTGATAGCGTCTCTGGCAAGAAAAATGTGATATTTTTCGGTCGCGTTTCGATTCTGCGCTATTAACGCCCTCTCGCGTTGCCTGCAGACGCTAAGCTGGCAGAATTCCACTGAGAGATAGACTTCTGAAAGAAAACAACAATAAAAAGAAAGTTTCAATTAAACATTTTAGAGTCCTTCCACCTCACAAAAAGATGGAGGACCAGCGAAGCTGTTATTTTTACGACGTCTAGGATGCCATCTAGAGGCCGACTTCTAGGACGAACTCGAGGACGCCGTCTAGGACAACCTCAAGAAGGACTTTGAGGACGACGTCTAAGATGACCTGAAGGACGACTTCTAGGATGACCTCAAGGACAATGTCTCGGACGACCTCAAGAAGGACTTCCAAGACGACCTCTCGGACGACTTCAAGGACGACACCTAGGACGACCTCGAGGACGACTTCTAGGATGACCTCGAGGACGATGATTAGAGATGATAAGGGGTCAGGACCTCACTATCTAATAATGCCAAGGAGGGCTGACTCACACTGGTTGCCCCTTCTTTTATTTTCATTAGGCATGGGCGAATAGAGGATATTGGGTCCGAATCGAATTCGAAGCGAATAGTGATTTTGGCCGAATAATTTTGAATTGAATAGTACAAGCAACAAATACCACAAGATATGTTTAAACTATTGTTTTATATTTGCTCTTATTTGGTATTCGAAGTAACGTAATTGCTAATTGCAATTGCACCGAGTTCAAGAGCACGAAATGGTTGGAATCTTGCACCACCTGGCCAGAAATCCAAGCCAGAGTATTCAATATTGTCGAATACGAATGCCGGATAGAACAGAATTCCATGCGCTATTCGCAATCACCGAATATTCGCCCATCCCTAAATTTCATTTAGAGAAAACTTTCTGTCAACATCTGCGGACACATTTTTTCCCAGTTCCCAGCGCATAACAGCTCTGCCGTAAACCATTCTTATCGTGTTGATGGGCACTAAAAGCACGAGCTTCATTTTCTTTCAATTACATAAACTTTTTAGGTCTTTCAGATGCTTTGTTAGAGCAAGTGGACAGACGCCGATGCACGCGGGCGAACGACCGCTGCTCGTGCTGCGATCAAACCCCGCAGTGGCGTTTCACGCTCAATGCAAGCGTTACGCGTCTCACTAAGGCCAAAAGAAACGGGCGGATCCGCGCGCGCCGAGGGTCCCACCTGGGAGGTCCTGCGGTGCCTGTTGGGGTGCCTGCGGGCCAGGCGGCTGGTGGTGGGGTTGCGCCTGCGGCCGCCCGTGCGGATGGAGGTGCTCTCGAGCGGGGTGGTGCGGATGTGCATGCGGCTGCCCCCGGCCAGGATGAGCTGCAGCACCTGCGGGTGCAGCAGCCCCTGCACCGCCTCTCCGTTGATGTGCGTGATCAGGTCGCCCGGCCGCAGGCCCGCCTCGAAGGCCGGGCTGCTGCTCTCCACCGCCTGCGGCAAGAGAGGACGATGAGTTCGGGCGGGGGGAGACGAGAGCGTGATGCGACGAATCGTCAACGCTCACGTCGGCGGTGCCGGCAAAGGGAAAAGCTAAAGAGAGCGACAGAAAAGAACAGGAAGAAAGCGGACAACAGGCTGGGCCTGTTTGTTTTCCCGCAACGAGCGGAGTTGTTCGGGCACTTGTCAACTTCATTTTTGTGCAATGCGCGATGCCGGTGTTTTTGGTGAAAAATGAAGCTAGAAAACAACTAAATACACACCTTGCAAGTGGTGTTTTGCAGTTTTTTTTATACTATCAGCACAGATTGAAATGCAAACGCCAAAACATGTGGCCTTTCGTATATGCTACGCTATCTTGAGGCGATAACACTGTACAGTGGAAAGGGGGGCTGCGAGGGTGTGTACACCAAAGAAAGCAGACGCTCTCGCAGCCCCCTCTCCACTCCCCAGTTTTATCGGCCGCTAGGTGATGCAGCACGTACCGAAGGCCATGCGTTCTGGCGTTCCCCCTTCATTCCATTCGTTCCTAACATTTACTGCTTTCATGTTCCTATCAAGGAGTGGTTATTAATTTCCCCTTATCACTTTTTTTCTGGATGCGACCATCCTCATAAAATTTGCTTACAAAATTGTCGTACTGAACAATTTCTCAACTCCCCGCTGCAGCTTGCCATTTCCAAGTGGAACTCTGCCCCATAATATTGTGGAAATTACAGGCAGGACAAAATTTAAAACGTCATGCAAAATATTACTTGATGGTACTCAAGAATGAGGTTAGTGTGCGTGCGAATTTCGTTGCACTGCACTTATCAATATTGCGTGTTTTGAAAAAAAATGTCTTTAGATCGATACAATTACATTCTTTCTTTTTGTGTAGTGTAATAAGTGTGTTATTGCATGTTGTATTTTGTATAATCAAATTTTGTATCCCCCTCATATAATGCCCTAACCAGGCAACTTAAACTACATGGTAAATAAAAAAAAATGGCAATGGTTTAGTATACACACTAAAGCATTACCAGTAATGTGTGCCCACTGGGACCTCCGGCATCTACGTCTATGTTCCGCCATTTCATAGAGGCCGCAAAGTGTGGGACCTTTCCCCGAGATTATATTACATTAACTCTATGACAGTCAACCGGCGAACACCCTCCCTACCGTTTCGGGACGGCTACTGAACCCCTCGGAGCACATCACTGCCTCATTATTTCGAGTCACTTCAATTGGGCGCTTTCCCTCATCGTTTGCAACAAAAGGTCCGTAGGAAAAGCTCCAGCATATGCTTGTTGCCATCGGTCGTGTTTGATCGCACGCACGCCAAAGTGCCACCAGAGGTGATGAAGGTAGAGCTTCTAGCCAAGAGCTAATGTGCGGTGGAAGTTTCTAAAACCATTCAATGTTACGCACAGCAACTGGATACAGCCAAAGGGGGATTTCGTATAATGCGAGTAATGTTTGAAAACAAGTCTTTCAAGCTGACGACACAATGATTCGCCCTTCGTTGTGCAATTCTGGGTGGGATGCCAGGGCTGCCCTCTTCGCTCGACAAGGGAGGACGAGGATGAAATCTCTGCAAAGTGTCACCCGTGAAGCTATCGCTTTAAGAGCAAGTGCTTCACACCTCCCAAGCCAAAAGACAAGCGCTGCGGATCCATCGCGTGTGCACTGTCAATTGCATTCCAGGAACTTTACCAAGTACTTGCAGAACTTTCAACACTACCGTACCTACATGGCGCATGCGCGAATAAATACGAGGCAGAAACGAGAAAAACTGAATGGTGACAGCAACCAAAGAACCAAGAAAGAAAACATTGAGACCACGAACACTCACACACTCTAGCTCGAGGGACCCCCTTAATGGTTTTTACGGCCCCTCTGGCCGTGGCACGAGACATTGCGTTGGGTTGCCATCCCCTAATAACCGAAATGGCTTTTGTACGCGCGAGCGGAGTAGCCTCCACCAGGGACGTACCATGACAAGGTGCTGAACGGTGTAGACGTCAGAGTCCCCGTAGTAGACCCGGATGGCCCGCACGGTGAAGCCGAAGCCCCTGGGGCCCCTCTGAATGATGATGGGCGGCTTGAGCTGGGTCACCAGGGGGCTCAGGTCCCGGCTCGGAGAGGTGTCCCGCGAGCTCGTGCTGGAGCCCCCGGGAGAGCCCAGGGGCTGGGACTGGAGTCCCGCCAGAGCCGCGTCGTCTGCGGAGAGGGCGCCCCGCCAGTCGGTAGACGCACTTTGGCGACGATGGCGTTGCAACGCGGGAGCGGAGCCGACGCCATCGTCGGCTCCGGGAGCGGAGCCGACGATGGGGGCGGAGGGGGCTACGACGGGGGGTTCTCAAAACGTTTCGGGGAACCTTCCTCGAATGGCAACCGAGGAAACATTCCCAGTTTCCTCGGTTGCGCAGGTTTAGAGACATTGTAAGCTAGAAGGTGGTAAATCTGACCTATAGATATGCACCAATGAGTGGCTCCAATCTCCTAACTCCACATAGGGGAAGGGAGAACACGTGGGAGCCCAGGGAATCCTCGAGGGGACCCACGCCCGAGTTCCTAAGAACCAAGTTCGAGAACCCATGGGCTAGCCAAACACAATTTCTGTTGAGGCTTCAAACACCTTCCAGTAACCGCAGCCTCCATTAAAGGGGTTGTGAAACGTTCTTCCCAAGTTCTGAGCTATATGACATTTTGCAATCCTTGTCCTTTATTATAAAACACAAATTCATTGTTTTGGTTGCCCGTGTTCATTTACGAGCGTAAAAAAGATAATTTCCTTTTCCCGGGGAGCCCCCCATTGGTTCTACTGCTACGTCCCGATAGGTAACCAATAGAAAATATTTGTTTTCTCTGCAAGATGGCGACGTACACCGGACTCTGGGCAAAGCCAGAGCGTCGGATATCGCCCCAGCGGCGGCGCCATAATGATGCCACGCATGCGAGTCGACGAATGACATCGGATATTACGCTCAGATACTCGTAAGATAGCCGACCTCATTGAGCTCTAACGTCACCGACTGCACGGTGGCCGGCTTTTCGGTTTCGAGTCGTAAGCCAGTCGTGGGAAAGCTAGTACGTTGTTACGACTGCACATGCGAAAATAACCGGCGCAAACCGGATGTGGTGATATTCGAGAGGTCACATGCACGGCCCTCCAAGCTACTAACTTCGCGAAGGTTTGGATCCACTTGACAATCTTATGTTTTATTCTAATTCATATCCACAATGAGGTTCATAAACAAATGCGAGCCGCAGTGGCACGTGCAGCATGGTTACGATGGTTAACAATCGACAGAAGACCAGGATACGTTTGAAAACGAAACTGTATCCCAATCATGTGATGTAGTGGCGTTTAACGAATACAAGAATGCCAATAAATAACTCAATGTTTTTATCAGTCCCAATTTATTTAAAAATAAATAAAGTTGAATTTGACCTTTTTACGTAGCTACCATTACCTTTCGCGGCTCATGCTGCCGTAGGGTGTTGCATGGCTGTTACAGACAGCCCAAAAAAACTCAACTATTCAACACAGTTCATAAAATGCGGATGCAATATTTTGCCGTGATACTTAGGAATCAATGTCTTTGCGGCTTAATGAATATAATAAAGTTAAAATCCGGCAGATACTTCTTTCTATGATGCCTTTAATTACGAAAATAGAAAAAGAGCATGAAAAACATTACAGGTATGTCTCTCTTTTGTTTTCTTAATATAGTTACCAACAAGCTCAATCACTTAAAAAAAAACAGAAAAAAAACTTCTTTTGATTTGCCATCGAATGGCTACACCATCATTCTAGTTCACTTTTCTAGCAACAAGAGCAGCTTGACCTGTCCTACCAAGTATGGTATGTTGTGCAAATCTGTTAATTAAAACAAACCAATGATTTTTTTTTTTTTTCCAGTTTTATTTTGAGGGGTAATTTGTAGGTAGAAAACTTTACCGCTAGGGTACTGCCTCTAATAAGCATCTCCCAACGCACTAGTATTCTCAATGACAGCCTTTTGGTGTTAAGGGATACTGAACCGAAATTTCGAACTCACAAAACAAGGCTGGACAGATAGGCGGGACGATGCAAAACCCAAAAACATCTCTCCTACAGCGATATCTCAAACGGATCGCCATATTTTTAGAAAAGAAGCGCCCCGACTGAACCCGGCCGACGAGGCCGACAAGGCAAGGCACGTCACGATTCTTATTCCCTCTCCTCCTCACTACGTCCCGTGTCGAGCTGGTGAACCGAAGCGAGGAGGAGAGAAGCGAGGCCGCTTCCCCTCACTCTCAAATTCTCCCGGAGGACAGTGATGTCAGAGGCCTCGCTTGATGGCGCCCTTCTTTTCGAAAAGTGCGGCCATCCGTTTGAGATATCGATGTACGAGCAATGTTTCGGAGTTCGTAAAGTCCCGTTCAACGCTTCTAGAGCCTTATTTTGCGAAACTCAAATTTCGGTTCAGTATCCCTTTAAGGCAAAAACATTAAAAAAAAAGACAGCAATCATTCATTCTCACTAGTAGTGTCGCATTACCTAAGGAGCAGATCTTGGGCAAACTCAAAAGGTAAAATATTGCATCAGTCTCCTAGCAAAGCTCCAAGAAGCGTTGCACAAACAGTGTCACGCGGTGTACCCAGCACTGCCCTGTAGAAGACCGTAACATTTGCATTTGCACACGGTATCCAAAGGCGAGTCCTCGACAGACGGCGATCAAAGTGACCAGGAGATCTGGCTGTAGAGCTCAGGAGCTCGAGCTGTCTACTACGTAAAACGCTCTAACGTGCGCATGTACTCCAAGCACGGCAGAGCGCACGAAGCGTGTGCCGGGGACCGGCCTTCAGAAACACACGACCCGCCGTTCTCGCTCTGTAGGCAAGTACAGAACCCCGCACCCGCCCTCTCGGGAGCTCACCCGCGGGGATGATGAGGGAGAGGCCCGACGCAGAGGCGGACTTGATGACCGACCGAGAGCGCAGCTTGACGGGAGGGGAAGGCGTGGGCGCCGCCACCTTGGGCGGCACCAGCCGAGGCGAGGAGGCCGACCGGTCGACCACGTTGGTGCCGCCGCCCTCCCTCGCCGGCGCCGCCGGTTTGTCCGAGCCCGTGCGCTCCGCCACCGGAGAGAGCTCCCTCGCTTCCGCACCCTGTGCATCAGAGAGGGCCAGCAACGTTGGCATGGGCCTTTCCCGGGGGTATCCATACGGTGCCCGCAACGCATCTCTGACTGCAACTCCAATGCGTATCCCAGCGGGCGCATTGGAGTACGGACTCGCCATCGAGTTGTTCTGGACCTCGCTTTGCGCATGTCGCAAGTTGTACGTACGAGCTAATGAAAAACATTTCCGGCTGAAAAATATATCACGCGGGAGCCTGATTAAGGTTTTATTTTTTGCCATATATTTTGTTTCCAAAAAGACAGCTAAAATCAGACTGCAGATTCAGACACAGCATTCAAAATTACATTTATACAATGTATTTGAGTGAGACAAATTAATAAATAGCAACAACATTTTAAGAACCCTCTCGTTGATGCAAACTCCAGCTTCCAGTTGGGGGATTACCGGAACGGTTCGTCCGACATAAGATGCTCCGAATCAGAGAAATTGCGTGGGAGATTGACAAACTCGGTGAACCCAGCGACCAAGTGGTTCTGGGAGGAGACAAAAGGCGGACGCACGGGCGCGGGTGCGGCGGCCACGGGTGGCGACTGGGGTGGGACAGCCCTGGGGGCGGGGAGCTGCCTCTGGGGGCTGCCCTCCTCCTCCACCGAGATGGAGAAGCGGGGCAGGACGTCCCGGATGCCCAGACGCCTCCTGCGCTGCACCTGCACCGGAAAAGGCGGGAGGTCACTCGCCCTCGGGGGCAGGCAAAACCCCGACCGCATGGCCCACGGCGCCTTTCTTCGGCTTCCCGTCACTCCCTTTCCAAACTTCTAAAAACAGCCTTTCGTCGACGGCCTCATCTACCGGTTGTACAAACGCCGAAACCTCGTACGAACATCCACAGCTGCTCGAGTTTCTGCAAGCATCTCTTTTCTGCCATTTAGGTAGATTCGTTAGTCAAAGCCTTTCACCACTCCTTCGTGCCACCTACAGCCCGTGACTGGAGCCCCCTTCCAGCTCCCATAGTCTTAATCACGGATCCTGTTCTTTTTAAGGTGCCTTAGATTGTCTCATCCAACTGATGTTCAGTATGTTTTCCCACGCGTTACATTCTATTTCAATTTATGGCTACCCCCTAACCCCTCTGTAATGCTCACACCCCGAGGGTAAACAAAATAAATACAAGATTAGAGCGTCGCCACAAACGACCCTAAGGAGAAGGACGTGGCTACAGGCAGAACCACAGAATTGTCGTCTCTCCTCCTCTCCTCGCAGGAGCAGGTCTATGAGCTACCCCCTGCAAACAGGAGAGGGGGTGGGGGAGGCTCCCCCTCCCTCGAAAGGACCTCCCTTTCAAGCGGCTCACCTGGGGCGAGAGCTCGTCCGACTCGGTCTGGGAGGACTCCGGCGTGCTGGTGAGGGGGGGCCTCCCGGGGGTCTCGGGGGACGATCCAGAGGGGGCCGTCCGGAGGGAGCCCTCGCTGCCGCACTCCGAGCTGGGCGCAGAGTCCGTGCGGCCGAGAGAGCGCCGGTGGCTCTCCTGGCACACGTGGCGCAGCAGGTTCTCCTCCTCCAGTTCCTTCTCCACCCGAGAGTACACCTGCAGGGGGGATGCACCGCCGTGAGCAACGCGCTCTGCTTGCGGAGCAAAGTAATGCAACGGTCTAAATCTTTTTATTTAAGTTTCACCAGAGGAGCTAATCTCACTCCTGCGGGAGACGTGATGGGTACAATGACACAAGGGGCAGTTCACTGTGCACGTGGACTTGTGCACCTCCTAAATCTGTTCAAAGTGCACGCACGCTTACAGCATTGTTCGCTGTTTTGTTGTCTGCTTGAGCATGGCCATCTGAAACGGCGCTTGCATTATAAAACAAACACAATTATCTGTGTCTAAGCACGCACGATGCCCAAAGGTTCGAGAAGCTTCCTGCTCACCAGACTTCACTGCAAAATGCACATTTTGCAAAAGCAGAGCGAAAAATCAGTACTGCCCCAAACCCGGAGCTGTGCAAGGCCGCTTCTCGGCAAGCACAAAAGTAAAACTTGGCACGTGCGAACCCTTTTTTCACCAATGAGGAGTTGGTGGCGATGGGAAAAGCAAGGCGATACTCTGGCTCTGCCATTTAGTTACTCTAGTGCCAACAGGGGCCCCAGTGATGGCACACAACAGAGACAACACGCGTCACCCCTACACTTTTAAGGCCTGTTCACAAAATTACAACCAAGTACGACCGAGAGAAACAAGACCGGTTTTTAAGCCTCTTGCGACGGCAGAGGACTCTGCTGTCGCAATCCTGGTGGCTTGATGACCCGAACGTCGCCGTCGTCAAGGCGTCCCGACCCCTACCTTCTGTGGGAGCTGGAGAGCGACCTCCAGCAGAACAGGCGCCTGAGGTACGCTCCTACGACGTCATAGGGCGGAAATTGTGGAACCACTCTTTAGGATGCGGCAAGCGGACCGGCACGAGAGGCGTGGGTGTGCACTGGCCTTGCGGTAGCGAGGCGAGCAGGACGAGAAGGAGGTGAAGAGCTGGTCGCCGTCATCGTCGCGCTCCTCCGAGTCGTCGTGCTGGTAGCGGTCGGCCCGGGTGTCGAAGTAGCTTGTGTCCTCCTCGTCGTCCAACTGGGGCACGAACTCCGCCTTCTGGCGTAGCAGGGAGGCCCAGTCCACGTCCCGGAAGAAGGGGTGTTCTCGCACCTCCTGGGCCCCCGCCGTGCCCAGTCGGTCCAAGGGGTTCTGCTGCAGCAGCTGCATTGGAGGGACCGGGATAAACGCCGTGATTGGGACTTAAAGGGGTATTTATTCCTGTTTATGTTTTCTATTTGTACGTCACACGTGAGAGCCCAGCTACCCAAAACAATTTGAAACCACGAATCGAGAACTGGTTGGTTTGAGTCGCACTCACTCTCTTCTTTATAATCATGTGGCATTCAGACACGACCACCAAATATAATCGAAGTCGTGGGTCATCAAAGGCACAATTAAAAACATTAAAAAATACTAAACCCATTTATTCTGGCTTCTAAAATACTACAAATATGTCGATTGAAAAAAAAGAAAAAGTTACAGAGTGCCAGAAGCACATGCACCGTGTAATTCTCAACACGGCGTCATATCGTCACCCCTTCTCTCGGCTGAAGACACCGCTCATCTTATGAACACAATTTGGTGAGAGCTTGAAAAACGTGAAAATGTCAAGCACAAAGTGCATACTTGATGTTGAATATGTAATGCGTACGATTTCTTTCCTAGGACTTTGAGCCCGGGGAGTGCCTTTGCCGCAGGGAATGGACCTTTTTCAAGAATAGTTCTGCGTATTTGTGAGCTCCCGACGCCCAGTGGCGAACGCTCGAATTACACCTGGCTGATGTGGTGGCTGATCAGCGGAAGAAAGCTACGAGTTATCCAGTAGTCGTAGCGTCAACTGGGATCAGGCGAACACTGCCCAGACCTAATTCCAGAGTATTGCATTTGTATTAAAATTAATTGGTGGGCAAGCTGGTTAAACATGATGTGAAAAAGCACGAATGATTAGGAAGAGAAGACGAGGACAGGACAGAATGCTCTGTCCTGTCCCCTTCTACTCTTCTTAATCATTTGCGCTTTTCCACATCATATCGCATTTGATAGAGTCCACTGTGACTCTTCTATTTTAGCTCTGATCGGCCATTCTGGCGCCAAAACACGTATGGTGGAAGGGGTTTCAGGGATGCCGACCCCAGTCTCCCAAGCGGATGCGCCACAAATTACCGCCGAAGTTAGGACATGCCCAGGTCGGGATGTGCTACCTGGAATCACCAGTGAGGCATAGCAGCGAAAGTCCCAGTCTCAATGGTACCAAGATGGCGGCTCAATCTTTTGCTTTGTTTACTGTGGTCACTAGCGTTTAAAAAGTATGTTTTTGCGTAAAAACAAACAGAAACACTTTCAGTCTTTCCACTCTGGTAAAGAAGGAAGACCAGCGGAGCTGTACAATGGAAAGTAATGGTCGGCCGCAAGTTGGCAAGCCAGAGTGGAAAAACTGCCGCCATCTATGAGCGACGGCGGGAACAAGATACGTGGCTTGCCGCCGTCGCTCATAGATGGCGTAGGTGTCCAGAGTTTGGTGTCTTCATTCCCTTGCGGGGTACACGATCCTGGGGAAACTAGCCCTTAACAGCTCCGCTGTAAAAGCCCTTTTTATGGAAGTTTTATTGGAGATTAGTATAGAATGATGGGAGCATGATGTTTTCATAAAAGTTTAGTTTACAAGGTTTTGCGGCACAATTGATATTGTTGATCCGAAAGCATTAACTATCCCATGGAGCGAACCGACGCCATCAGCTTTGAAACCGCTCCAGACGTTGGCCGAACGGCACCTAAAATCCCCTTTCCCCAGCGAAGAAGATTTCTAAAGGATTATGCTTCCACTGGTTGGTGCGCGTCATGAAGAAACGAGGCTCCCATTGGCTCTAGTGACGTGCAATTCCAAAAAAGGCCACCGGAGAAGCCCTCTCCATGGTGAAGCACCGCGCGCAGTGGTGCGGCGGCCGGTAAGAGGAGGGAGCAGTGGCGACAGAGCCAGAGCCCGGACAGGCAGACTTCAAATCGGCTGCACGGCCGAGCTCGGCGTAGCGCAGCCACTTCGCGAAAGCGCACTCTCGATCATCTGCCAGCGAAACGTGGACGTCTACACCGCCACACCGCAGACGAACAAAGGGAGCGGAAGTATGACATTCATGCTTTCGCATTTACAACTCATAAGAAGTATCTAGGTGTCCTCGGACATTTTTCTTATAGAACCATGTCTCACCAATGATTTCAGGTAGCGCGTCCCAGCTTGGGCACGTCCCAATATCAGTGGTAATTCATGGCGCGTTTAGTAGAGAAACGGGGGGGGGTTGGCAGCCCCAAAGCCCCTTCCACCCTATATGTTTCATAAAGTGGCCGAACAAACAAAATAAAAAACAGTTGGAGCGGATGCTATTGAATGAGATACTCTGGAAACATTCAGTGGCACTAGACCCATCTAGACAGCGTATGAACCTCTTGCCTTAGCCTCTTCATCGTGATTATGCCCTGCTAGTCTGTGGTAGTTTCGCGTAAAATGCGCTCCATTGGAAGAATACGTGCCGAATTCGTTATCGCCAGCGGGGCCATGGTTGCTTGCACGCTTGCATTGCGGTCACCGCGATTACGCTAGGTAGCCGTGTGCGTCGTTGCGCGTTGGTACTATCCACGAAGTTAATCAAATGGTATGAAAATCCCTTGTCGCGTATGTCCATACTCCAGGGGCTCTAGGCTACACGGCGGGACCAAAGTCAAATTTGGGGGTTTTGCGTGCCAAACCAACGACGGGCATCTGGCACGCCTTAGCGGAGGACTGAGGATTAATTTCGACCACCTGGGGATCTTTTGACGTGCAACCGAAAGCTCGGTTACACGGCGTCTTCTCCGCAATAAGCCTCCGTCAGATTGCGGGCACCTCGGCCGGGATTCGAACCCGCCACATGGGGATCCGTAGGCCAGCGCTCTCGCCTCGGAGCCACCGAGGCGGCTAGCGGGACCAAGAGAGACCAAAAAAACCGAGAAAATGCCGTCGGCTCCGACCGGTCAGCGACTAGCATAGGGCCCCCCCTGGTGTACCCTCCGTGCCATTGGTACAAACTGGAAGGGCATGACAGTTAGTAAAGCAGGTCCCTTCAACCAAATCTAGTTCGTACATCCACTGCCGGGTGACGTCGTTATGTGAGGAAGGTCCATTGGCAGCAAACTTTCTGACCTACATTGAGTGGCTGCATTACTGCAAATGAGGAATTCCCCCTTGAGTTCTCAACCATTACAATGCTAAAACACACACACACACACAGACAAAAAAAGCAACCATCTCTGGCACATGCCAGAGGGAAGACACAATGGGGCAACGACAAAGAGGAACCATGGCGCACGACTTCATAATGAGAGAAAAGAAACAGGCCAGTGTTGATCAGTTGGCAGCATAGATGACATCATGAAAGCTACTATGCAAAAAATAAACCCCAAAAAAACAGCATCAATTTTCAAGAAAAGAAGACAGCTGCCGGTTTTGTAACAAGCTCTCTGTGCGCACCTGCGTGACGAGCAGGCGGGCTTCGTCTGGCAGGGGCCACTCATCTTCGTCCGGCCAGTCCACCTCGTCGCTGATGACGTGCGCAAACAGCTCCTCTGGAGTGTCCCCAAAGAAGGGGACGCAGCCCACCAGGAACTCGTAGAGGATGATGCCCATAGACCACCAGTCCACGGGTTTGCCTGCGTGCAACCAGGGGATGCCGTCACAACTCACACACAGGCCCACATCCAGTGCCAAGGGAACGGAGATGCCACCTTTACATGCTACTTTATTCCCCACTTGCAGTTATGAAACACATGAGCAAAATATAAAAAACTACTAAAACAAAGTGATGCAAACGATAGTAAAGACGGCGAAACGAAAGCCAAGTGGACAAAGCGCGGGAGCAAGCCTGCGGAGGCGTGGTAGCCATGGCAACGGAGGGAGAATGCGCATCTTGGCCAATGGCAGTTGCGCGCACGCTTTGGCCATTCACTGCTTCGCAATCGCGAGGTAGGAAAGTGCCGATCATGCCGAAACTATGTGGCGGACACCATTTTGAAGGACAGGAAGAACAAGAAAAAAAAACTCAGCTTCAATATAAGCCTAAAATAGTGACTGTCCGCCAAGTTTAACAGGAGCAGCAATTGCTCAAAGTCCGGCTCATTTTGCGGCTTGGGCTCAATTTGGAAGCTGCAGAGACCTCCAAAATATCTTTTTTAAAGGGGCCACGCAACAATATTCACTTGGAATGTTTTTCAATTGACGCGAGTTTACTGGCACAAGTGAGACTCAAGCATAATTGCACGCAATGCCACTGACCAAGAAACTCTTTTGTTCCGGTGCAATTTCAAGGACAAAAGCGAATGTTTTCTTTCAATTTCTCCCTCGCAAAACTTGTTGATGTAGCTGGGGGTCGCAGCATCCTCCAGTGACGATACTAGAATGCGGCTCATACAATGACCCGAGCATTCCATCGGCACTCTATTTGGGCTCGTAATAATCGATAACTCGACAAGCACTCGGGTAGGGGCCCGTGCCCAATCGTGCAATGACGACAGTAATCGAACCATAACAATGTCTACAGGAACTCAGCGTGTGTCCCGTGCTTTGTCAACCCCAGGGCGTGGCTATGATCAACATTGGCGACATAGTCAAATCTTGGCACAGCGAACACCACTTTAACGAATTTTTCAAATTAACAAACTTCTAAAAAATCCCGTGCTTACTGTCTATCGTTGTAATGCAAAATGTTTTCACAACATAGTTCAGAATAACAAGCACTATATTTAGCTCCGTATCATGTTAACAACACCTCAGTACTACGAACTCACATTCTGAAGTGTGGGTATTCTTAGGTTTCAGTGAATCTAACACGGCAGCCGGAGCGGCAGGCTAGCAGACGACACGGCGAGCAGACGCCTTGCAAGTTGCAACTCGCTCCCTTGAAAACGCGAGACAGCCAGCGCGAGAGGTAAAAAAAGACAGACTACTATTTCTTTTTTTTTTTTGTTGTTGTTGAAACGATGAGGGGTTTTACCAGTGCAGAGGGCGCAGAGCGCAAGGGCAAGGGTTCGGTCGGCAAGGGCTAGGGAGGCAAGGAGCATGTGCATGTAAAATCTGAGAAAGTGGGGAAAAACAAAAATGCTAGAAAAAATTTTTCGCTTCTTTTTTTTTTTTTTTGTGGAGGAAGCATGGCATGTTGTAACTCTTTTTGCATTGACAATTTTCTTTCTTCTTTTTTTCGTTGACCGCTATTTTATGAAGCACGCCAGTCTACGGTGGCACCGCACTGCCTGCGTCGCCGCATTGGGTTTATCTTTGTCATCCTTGTTCCTCATTTCTGCGTGTGCCCTCAGCCTTGTCAGACGCGGCTTTTTTCGGTGTTTATTGCGTCCACAAAGCAAGCTGGCATTCGTGCTGCAGAAAAAAAAGAAAAAAAAAGGTCTTTCGTGTTGCAAAGTTTGTGCTGCACGCAACAAAAAAAGAAAAAAAAGAAAAGAAAATCACTCATTACTTTAAATAAATGTGCTTTGTCTGATGTTGACTTGAACATCTTCGTGAAATACGCGTTCAAGGACCCACCGCTGTAAAAGTAGGACGTTTTAATCACTGGAAAATAAGTAATTATGGTTAATTTCGCAGTTTTCACTATAACGACCTTTCAGAATAACAAATAATTTTCTAAGGCCCCCTGAAGTTCGTTATACCGAGATTTCACTGTAATGGGCTCCAAATCACGTGGCCGTTTGTTTTGGCAGCGAGTTGACGGCGTGAACACTGCTCGGTTTTCTTTATTTTCTTCCACACCTTCTATTGCATGTGGTGAAAAACGAACAAGTGTTTCAGAGGTAAATAACGACGGGGATTCGTTCCAAGCGGTATTTTCGCAAAGTACAAAAATCGTTGCATCGCCTCTTTAAACATATTTTCTCAGTAATTTGGGCACTGATAATTACAGAGAAGGTAGTTCACGAAATATACAGCCAAAACAAGTAATTTTCCAAAACTGACTTTTTCACAATTTTTCGTCTAAAAGAAAAAAAGCTCGAGCACGGTCAGGCTGGTGGCGTCGGGGGCCAGACAGGGGTACTCACCGTAACCCTGGCGCAGGATCACCTCGGGTGCAATGTACTCCGGGGTGCCGTACACCTGCTTGTCGTTGAACTGCTTCGTCTCCTTGTCCAGATAGCCCTCGTACAGGTTGGTGGCCACTGCGAGGGGTGCCCCCCTGCTTAGCCCCAAGGCACCCAGGGGAGAATGGACGAGCACTTACGGTTCATGAGTCCAACCTTGGACAGCCCAAAGTCCGTCAGTTTGATGTGGCCCATGTTGGTGATGAGCAGACTGCAAGAAACAAAGCGGTGGTCAACAGGGATCAGCCAAAACTGCATCTTCTGTTGGCAATTTGACAAGGACAGACTGAGAGTGGGTTCCAAACGCAACCCACTTGTCCGGCTTGAGGTCCCGGTGCACGATGCCGTAGCTGTGCAGGTACTCGACTGCCAGCACGGTCTCGGCAAAGTAGAACTGGGCGATGTCCACGGGCAGGGGCCCCATGTTCTTCAGCAGGGTGGCCGTGTCCCCCCCCTCCACATACTCCATCACCAGGCACAGGTGACGCTGCACAGGCCAGTTAAACCCTCCCCTCAGTACTGCACACAAACAACACACTGATGGAAGTATGCAGTAGATGCGTTTGTGCCCTTTAATGATTTGTTTTAAAAAATATTTAGCGGTATTGGTGGTGACATAAAACTTTTTTGAAACGACAGTATTCTCTTTCTATTCTATTTAAATCTAATATGCTGACACAAACCCTTCAAACAAACATAAAAAAAAAAAAAAAAAATTGAAGTTGCTTTTAGAAGATACGAAAGAAACAAAGAACCCACCACTATTTGGACTTGGAACATTATTGCGGACAAAAGCGCCGAAAAACCTGAATATATTTTAGATATAACCACAAAACCGAACCCACATTTTGTGCTGCTCCCAAAACAATCATTTGAGGTAAATTTATTAGCGTATTGTTTCCACGCCATAGACAATGCCAGTGTGGTGTGTCGTGTGGTGCGCTCATTCAATCACCGAACTTCCAAATTGTTTCGACCATTTGCAAGCAAACCGTTTCCCATGTTCAGGCACTATTTTGGCCCATACAAACGACGCGTCGATGCGCAACCACGAGCCAAACACGAGACTCGAAAGCACCGCATCACCGCCGGAGCTGGGAAGGGTTCCTCGGCAATCCACGGATAGATGCAGAACCCCCGGTGTTTGTTTGCGAGAGAAGCTGCTGCCATTTCGAGCTATGCTGGCACCGTGTAACGTTTCCACCACATTGAGCCGTGTTAAGAGCGCGTCGTTGGGGGCGCGCCAACCTGGACCCAACAAGAAATGCAGTGGTTACAACGTTGGAGGCGCGCAGCCTGGGCGCACGGGGGCATGGCCAGGCAAAGGGTTGCTGGGCTTGCTCGAATGAAGACGCGTTATTTCTGTGTGCGGCTCAACTCCTACTTATTGCGGGCAAGCGGTATAGCGCCTATCCACAAAGACATTTGCGCAAACTCGCACCTTGGTAGCACGTTATTTGCCACTGCGGAGTAACACTGGCTGGCAACCATGAGGCTCTGTGGAAGGAGCTTCTGGAGGATTCAGATCTGTACAGGGTGCCCCCCCAAATATTTACGAGCTTTTTTTCCCACCGCCAAAATAGACTACCCGTAACCAAATGCACAATCCCTACCTAAATGCAGCGCTACCGGTCCGAACGAACCAAATGCCGAAGTTTCAGCACTGATCGTCATTTTTATTAGAAAGTTACGAGATTTTCCGAAATCTTCAATGGGAAAACGGCGTCCAACAGAGCTCTCAAATACGCGGAGCTCTATGGCGCCAGTTACAGAAAACGGGCAAAAATGAGCCCCATTCGACTTTTGAAAAAGGTGACGGCTAGTGCTGAAACTTTGGCACCTGGCTCGAACCGCTGGCGCGACATCATTTAGGCCGAGAATGAGCTTTCGGCGACGCACGGTTAATGTCCGAGGTGAAAAAAAACCCGTAAACTTTTGTAAGGAACATGCTGTATCTTGAGACTTTGGATATTTTTTTCTAGTTCCGCAGTTTGCTACCGGTTTGGGTATTTCATTATTTGTTTCTGCTCTTTCGCGGTAGAACACAGCACCTGCATGTTTTATAAAGAGTTTTTGAGAGTCTCTCAATGCTCAGTGGCGTCTGCAAGAGACTCCTGGCAACACTGTACGACAAGTGGCGTACGTCTTGGTTGGGGAGTAGGCTGGAGGTCGGGCATCCCTGCGAGGCACGCGACGCAACCTCGCAGAGATGCCAGGGGTCAAGGGAGACAGACACGAAGGCCAGCTGCCCACCTTAGTCTCAAAGCTGCAGAGCATGGAGACGACGAAGGGGTTGTCGGTGAAGCTCATGATGTCCCGCTCGGCAAACACCTGCTCCACCTGGTTGCGTAGCACCAGGTTCTGCTTGTTGATCTTCTTCATGGCAAAGCGCTGCCGGCTCTCCCGGTGGCGCACCAGGTACACCGCCCTGCGACACCGCACGCACTCAGGCACGGCCAGGGCCTTCCGAGTACCCAAAGTTTCTGCCCCGCAGGCTGCTTTTCAGGCATTGCAAAAATCATAGGACATAACAAGCACCCACTTTCCTATCTTAAGCAAGTTCAAAGATACGCCAATGTCGCATCGAGAGCCCAGTCGCCGTGGGCGGCCATATCTCCGCAACCGGAGGACAGCGCGAGTGAAGCGGCTTTAGTGACAAAGACTAGATGTATGGCGCATAATCGATCACTTTTTAATTTTTTTTTTTCAAGAGACCATTTACCGAGAGGCAGACTTGGCATTTTGCCTCCCTAGGCAGCCTTTAACAGTGCCGCCCCCACACCCCCCATGGTCAGTGACCAGTGGGAGCGGACTTCTCAAAATTGCTAAATTCGTAGCTAGATATAAAAATAGAGCCAATTAATTTGGGGATGGCCACAAATTGGCCACCCATCAAATGTTGCCGCCTTAGGCAGCTGCCTACCCTCCCTTTTGGTTAGTCTGCCCCTGCACTTACCATATCTATTCGCATAGTGAAAGCACCCCTCACAACAATAGTGAATGTAGATTTTTTTCTTCTTTCGCCCAATCCAAATACTTTAAAACGCAATTCATATAGAAGGGCATCTGTTTGAAAACAAAGCTTTTTATGGCTCAGCTCAGAGACCGCACAGTTCCATTTCGGGTGCACATCTTATGGAGAAGGGGCAACAATACCAGCCCAGACGAGAAGCACTCGAGGTTCCCCGAGTACTGCCGAGGAGTAAACCAGGGTTTGCCGACAGATTGCTTGGCGAGTTAGCCAAGCCACGATGTCTGCTACAATGTCGTCTGACGCCATTGCCAACCCTAGAAATGAGCTATCATAGCTTTCCATTGCTCTAAAGCAGTGTGTCTTGCCGGCTCAAATTACTTCGTCTTCACTCTTAGCTTTAAACTGTACTGGAGTCCTGGCATTTGCAACGAGTTAAGTTAAAAACCCTGACCTGCTCGCAAGTGCACGCAACTCCATGCTTCGTATCCGATAGCATAGCCGCTGAATAGAAATCACCAGAGTACAAAGTGTTCCCTAGACATCGAAGCGGCACTAATGCGGAAAACTCTGACAATTGAGACAACAGGTGCCAACAGTAATGTGCGTGCAGTTGTGCACTCACCCGTACGCCCCGTTGCTGATGAGCTTGATGGTCTCAAAGTCGTCTTCGCACGGCGTCTTGGCCGGGGCTTTCTTCTCCTCTGGCACAGAGTCTAGCTGCTCCGCCGTCTCCTCTGCCGCCAGGTCTAGACGAACGAGAAGGAGTGCCGTCCTTTCCCTCAAACCACCGCAAGAACTCAATGAGCTTCTATATTTTATAGTGACAGCTTTACAAGTGACAATATGCAGGGATTTTGGTGTCAGCATTAGTTGCTGTCTGTCGTCAAAGTGGAAATTAAAAACTCTTCTCTCCCCTCGTGGTGAAAGGAGAGAGAAGTCGGGAGTTCCCATTGGCTGCGCAAAGAGGGAAGATTATGCGGACCCCTCAACGCACATCGCTGAACGTTAACATTACACCCCCCCTTAACCGCTCAACTACACTGGGAAAACCTACGCCTTCGCTTGCATCGTCAATGCTGCAGTCTTTCTAATGGTGCTACCGTGCCAAGCTCATACTCTGTCCCAGGAGCGAGCGCGGAGGGAACAGCTGGTTTCTGCGGCCCCCCGTGGGTGAACAGCTTCGACGTGGCCAACTCGCAGCAGACGTTTCACCGATTTCATGCTTCGCCGATTCCGGGCTCTGTGCCCAAGAACTTCCCACTCATCGTAACTGGGAACTTCAATGTCGACTTTGGAGCCGCAAGAACGAGTGGTTCCACTGCATCGTCGCAACGAAATTGAACCTCAGTGTGGTGTCCGTCACCACTGCGGACCTCATGCTTACGAAGAATATTGACACGTGCCTCCAGTGCCTCGCCTTGCCAGCTTACTTCACCAATCACCGAACACTTGTGGCAGTTGTCAGTGGCATCCATGATCCACGACGCCAATGTGCATTAACCACTTCGCACCTCCGTTCTCAGGTATATGACAACATCATTTTGCCCGCGTTGCGCGAACGTGCTACAGGTATCACTTATATTTTTGCTCGTTGTGGGTAAAAAAAAGGTGCCATCTTTTCTCTTCCTCAAGAGACGAAAAAGACGTTCCAGGGACAAGAATGAAAGACAGTAGAAACACGAGCACAAAGAATCAAAACACATGCACGGGAGACAAAAACGACAGAAGGCATTATACTTGGAGCCAGATTGTGGGGAAGTCACGAAAGGCTGGCCAAAAGGTTACAAAGTCAAGAAAAGAGCCATCCTTTGTTGGCATTCTGCGTCTCTACACCCGCCATTCACACCCATGTTAGCTCTGGAGGCAAAGCGCTGCCTTTACCTGCAAAGGGGTCCCTGTTGAGGCCCAACTTGCCGATGATGTACTGGGGGATGTCCGTCGAGACTCCCTGCACCACCTTGGCCTGGCCCTCTGCCGCCTCCAGCAGGTGGTAAAACTCCTCCGGGTCAAATTCCTGCAGCAAAGCCAAGCACGTTCTCAGGGGCACTGCCACTTTAGGAAGTCAAGCCTCCGTAGTCCGCTTTTCAGGCATCTGTCACCGTAGCCACAGGTCCCATCACTTCGAGTCAACCAGCTGCACTATAAGCAAAGCCTCGCACATACAAAAACATACACAAAGGACAGAAAGCATAATATAATACAATTGCATAAAAGGGTGAGCACTCACTATGCTAGAAATATCTGACACTTCTCTTTTGTACCCCTCAGTCTTTTTCTAAAAATGAAAAGATTGTGCTCTTATATCTTGGAATCTAGTCAAAGGCCAGTGTGAAATAATCTGTGAAATCGGTCTGACTTTGCTCGAGGTACTAGCGAACTGTGGCCAACTTAGAGCTTGCTCGAAGCAGGGCATTAGACCCCTGAAAGGTAGATTAAGCTCGGTGACCTGCACAAAGGGTCGCCTCCAGGCAGACACGCACCGTAGCCAATAGCGAAGACACCGCACACGTTTTCCCTCAACGTTCGCGGGCAGCTACAGAGGAGCAGCGGGAGACACGACTCACGAGGCACTCGAGCAGACGGGCCGGGCGGGACACAATGAGCAGCAGCTTCCGCACCAGCTTCCTCAGGTGCTGAGCAGCACCCGGGGACTTCTCCTGGCACTGCAACCGCCAGAACAAACACTCCTTGAGTAACCACCAACATGCCTGCTCAACCTCAGTATCCCACACGAAATGCTTGTTTTTTTCACACTGCCTCACTCCGAGCTCGACCCAACAAAATGGGCCATTACCAACATGGCAGACACCAAGCTCAACATCCTGAACCCCCTTTTGTCACCCTGCAATCGCTCATACTCTACATCTTTACTCGTTCTCAGATAAAAGCTACAGGTCAGGGAGGTGTTCAATGACACGAAATGGAAGTAGATTTTACTGAATTTTCAATTAAAAAAAATCTTAACAAAAATTTTAAAAAAGATTCTGGACACAAATGTACCCTAAATTCATCGGAACTCGCCTGTATCGTGTAGTATATTTCTGCAGCTTCATTTGGCATTGGCGTTTTGCCATTCACAATAATAACTATCCCACGACAAATATTGCGACGAAGCATTGCTCAGTAACAGCCGATACTTTGAAATAATTATAGGCCCCTTCCCATAGTCGCTGGAAAACATGGAAGCTTCAGCTGCCACTCCTTTCATAGCTATCGCTGTTATAGAACAATACCCCTCCTTCCTCTAACAAGAACACAAATGGTATGGACTAAACTAGAAACCTAAACAATGACTTTCATCGTAACCCAGAGGTACCGAGAACTGTTGTCCCAAACGAACCTTGACGAGCTAGGAGGTGAACCCCATTTTGTCGCTGGTTCGAGATTTCTAAGGAAACTGAAGTGGTCTCTCCTCAGGACCGTCGACCGTGTGCTCTTACAAAATTTATTTGTAACATCTCGCGTTTTTGCCTTTTATTTCGCCGTCCTGACTTCAGAATTTGGAGTTTTTCGGATAAATCCAATTAACCAAAATTTTACACGTGAGAATTCAACTATTAGCAGACGACTGTCATTCACTGAAAAATGCCTAGTCCCATAGACCATCACATCCTTCAAAATGACCTTGATGCTCTAACTGCGTGGTGCTCAGAATTGCAGATGAACGTTAACCCCACAAAATGTAAGCTAATGTAATATTACCACAATCTAAAACAAATCCTTCTTCTAATATTCATTACTAACGCAGCAACTAGAATCAGTACCATTATACAAATACCTTGGTGTTCATTTTTCTGAAACATTCTGATGGAAGCAACACACTAACAGCATAATCAACAGCTCACTAAAATCACTAGGTTTTTTCTATATCTGTCTCCCATAGCAACTAAAGCACTGGCTTATGAAACAATAATTTGACCTAAACTCGAATATGCAAGCAATCTATGGCATCCACATCAAAATTGCTCGACTACTAAATTAGTCTGTGTAAAACAAGGCTGCCGGATTTATATTAAACAATTTTTTGCCTGAAAGTAGTCTCTGCTTTAAAATTCTATCTTGGTCTTCCTTTATTATTTAACAGGTGCAAAATCAACCGAATGTGGTTTTTCGATGCGATGTATTAGAATAACTCATACTTTAAAAACACCTATTGCCATTCTGCCCATTTCATTTCTCCTCGAACCAATAATTAATGAAAAGTTAAGCAATTCTGTTCTCACACTAATTCTGTTTTTATTTTCTCCCTTCATACTGTCGATAACAGAATCGAATGACTCGCCAGATCAGGTGGTTACTAACTATCATGAGTCGTTTAAAGTTTTATGTTTTATTTTCCTCGTCTATCTTTTGTGTTCAGCTAAAAATGAGTCCCCCTGTGGAACGTGTTAACCCGATTTCACAACTTTTTGTTTGTTAATTACATATATTGCGATCATGCTGTTATGAATGTAGTTTACAGCCAACCCCCCTCACGTACTGCGTCTTTAAAACACGCCTTTGAGGTAAGTAAATTAAATGAAAATAAATAAAAAAATATCCAAAGCCAAGAGAAAAGTCTCGTCGCCTGGCATCCGATTTTCTGACACATCGCATTAAACTCTAAAGCTGACTGAAGCGGGCAGGTTCCATATGAAGTTACGGCGACCATGCGGCAATTTAATTTACGCTGAATAAGGAATACTGAAAACTGGTCGTGGCTCAGGCGTCTGTCAAGCTCGTCTTAGAAAGAAGTTGACAGATTACCTACAACCCCCTCTCCTCGTGTTATGTTGATGCTCTGTCAAGGCCTCGCATCAAAGCCAGACTGCCAGGCGTGTCTCACCTCTGCCAGTAGCTTCTCCAGGCTCTCGTACATCTCGTAGAAGTACTGCGAGGTGACCAACTTGTCCTGGGACTTCTCCAGGCAGTCCCTGGCCAGCTCAATGATCTGGTGGTGGGCAAAGCGGGCCACCGCATCCGAGGCATGCTCCGCATCAAGCTCCCGGTGCTCCACTCCAAACTGCTCCAGACGCTCCTCCATCTGTTTCGTGGCCTGCGACGGGAGAGCACGGTCAGACGCCCCGCAGGAGAGACTCCGACGACTCACCTTGGGGAAGCGCTCCTTGTAGACGCTGTTCATGAGAACGATCTCGTTGTCCAGTCCGGGGGATCGCATCGGGCTACTGCAAGAGCCCGGAGTCGGGGTCGCCCAAGTTGCTTTACGAAAGGCGATCGCCGACCACACTCAATTCACGGTAAAGCGAGAGAACACACGAGCGATGAAACTGGGCGCCCGCACCACAGGCGCACCGTGCGGCTTTTTCAGAACACACCAAATCTGAGCGACGCGCTGCCGGCATCGGCTGCTATGGATACGGCGCCCGTTTTGTTGCTCAAGTGTCTCCCGTTTAAGTCGGCAACTGGCCAACAGCACTCTCAGACTGCTTCAATGTTTGTAGTGTGCATGCCACAAGTGTCCCGCACTTCTTTCCCAGTTGCCTCTCCTCAGAGACAGACATGCCCCACAGTGAGGACACGCTCCGCTCAGCTGGCGCACTTAATCTGCTGCCCAGACTTCGCGCATTACTGCGACCGAATGCGTCTCCGTTGAAATGCACCCCTATGACCAATGTCGCATGTTAAACCTTACGAGGAAAGGAAGAGAGTTACATGCGCACCAATGCCAAGTTATGTCCCATGCCTGTCGTATGGCATATTTAGTAGCACCATTTGATAATGCACACCCCCAATAGTCTCGTAACGCTAGAAAAGATCCTGCCGAATAATGCGCGTGACATTAATTTCTCTCCCAAAGGCCATGCCAGTTAGTCACAATTTTGGAGAAGCACATGTTATAAGGCGGGATATGCTGGGGGTGGTTTTCTTTTGAGATATGATCGAGGGTTCCTGTTAACACTGAGCTCCTTTCTCGGAAGAAAGATGCGAGAGCACTTGGGACGAGCGAGGGGTGGGATCCCGACCTAAGGCTGCGCGAGCGAGGCCTGATGACTGGCGACGTGTGGCAGTGCTCTTCCTCCAGGCCCGGGTTGCTCTCGTTGCTACTGAAGTGGCGCATGTGCACGTGCGGCTGGTACTGATGGGACAGGTGGTGCTGCTGGGGCCCTTCCTCCGGGGCCGGCTGGCAGGCCAGCAGGTGCAGCTTCTCCTGGCTGGAGCACTGGGACTGGGCCCATGGGAACAAAGACACAGCCCTCCTTGTCAGAGATCCCTTTACTGGGGCAGTGTGCCCACGGATCTCTGACGCTCCTGTTGCACAGTGGCAAGCGTCGAAACAAGCCCCCCCCCGTGCAACAGCGAATGCTTCCGCGCACGTCCCTTCTAGACGGACCGCCGTAAACATTTGCAGCTGCCGCCAGAAAGCCATGTTTTTCTGGCAACTAGAGCCGTGCAGCCAAAACTGCCGGCACTAGACGAGGTTAAAATAAACCTCGTGTAAAACTTGCTGGCTGCTGAATATCAGGAAGACAGTTGGTGGTAGGCTAACAATGGCTGTTTAATAGAAAAACTGAGATTAAAAATATTTGGAGATGTATTATTAAACAGCCCCATGTTGTTTTCTTGGCATCAATGTAATAGCCAACCTAGGGCACATCAACACTCCCGGCCATGGCATTTGTTTGGCCATCATCAGGGTGTAAGACATATAAATATTTCTGCAAACAATGCGCGTATCGCACATGCCAGATAAAGTCCTCTCCTCGCAATGGTTGCAAACACCGCCACCAGGTGACTCCTTGATAGTATGCGGCTAATGGCAGTCTGTTGAGGGCCCGATTTTGCACGCTTCTGATTAGGTGACAAGATTGCTTTTAAAGTCGTTCTAAAGCGATAGGTTTACTGGTGAGACTTTGCAGGGATTTTGGTGTCGGCATTTGCTGTCTGTTGTTGCAGCGGAGATAGAAAAACCTTTCTCTAGCCTCGTAGTGCGAGGAGAAAAGTCGAGTGTTCCCATTGACTGCGCTGCGTGAAGAGGGAAGAGAGAAGAGCTCCGACGACCCACTGATAACGGCGCGACGACGAGAGAGCGTCGTCTGCTAACGATAACTTCAAGACAGATGTTTTCAAACATTACTCGTGTTACATGAAATCTCACTTTGGCAGTATCCAGTCGCTATGCATAATGTTGAGGGTTTTAGAAACTTCAATGCGTTCAATTTCACAATTACATTTTTACTACTTGAACGAAACCCTCAGCGTAAGATATGTTCTGCCAAAACTTGTCGCCTTGCACCCATCTTTTTCGCAGATCTCCGCCTCGTTTCTCTGCGTACGCCCCCCGTTCGGCTCATCGTTGAACATCAACATCAACGAGTTGACCAAAGCGATAGCACCTTCGAGCAATGTGGACAAGATGGTGTTGTCACACACCATCCTTAGGTATGTGACGACACAATTTTGCCATCATTGCACGAATGTGCTGTAGCCATCACTTTCACTTTTTTGCACATTGTGAGCAAAAGAGCCACCCTTCACTGGGTGCGCCACATCATGTAGAACTTGGGGCTTGTGCTACGTGCATTGCAAATACACTGCCTCGTCATTCACCCTAGTTTTTGCCTCAACGGTGGCAATAACTTTTTTGGACATATTGAAGCGGAGATCTCTGGCAAGGTGCTCAAGCCAGTGTCCATCAAGGTTAGAGCAGACGAGCGGAATGAGCACATGCCCGTGCGCCTTGAGACTTTGTTTGTGTTTTGTTTGTTTCTATTTTACTCAGTCGCACCGTCTGGACGGCAGATACGCTGTCGACTGAGCCTACTCAGGCACGCGCCAACAAGACCTCATCTGGTTGAGCGCGTTGCGACGTTTGTCGTCCTCACCAGGCAAGGCTCGACCATACACACAGAGGCTCAAGGTCATCTTCCCCTCGCAACTAAGCAGCAGACCCGTCCCAAATGCTTTGGACGTGTAGCAACAACTGTTGGGGAAGGCAAGAATGCAGGACACTCACAGAGACGTTAGAGCTTCCGGGCGTGTTGGTCCCATAGCCGGAAGATGGCAGCGAAGCCACCGACCATCGCCGGCCGTCCGCCCTGCACAAACGCCACAAGTGCAGTCAGCCTTGACACTATCCCTCCAGACACCCTCGTTGTGTCCCAATGCCCTTCTCACAAACCTTGGGGGTAGCTAATAACCTAGTTAATCAAATCAGACTCCTAGGGCACAAAGGGAGGTTGTTTCCAAGCAAAGCCATTTGTAAAAGGGATTTTGTTATTACTGAATCTTTCTAACCATAAATCACACACGCACACACAACAAATGGATCTATATCTCAGTCCCGTAAATAACTGCGTTCGTATCGCTTCCGCACTATGCGCGCTCGATGCGATAAAACCATAAAGCGTGTCCCCGAGACAAAGTTAAGGAAAAGGGGTAACTGGGCAGACAGAAAGCGATAAGCCCACAAGTGGACGGCCGTCGACGAGTGCCTCCGGCGGAGAGATAAAGCTCCGCACAGAGAGTGCTATCGTCCCGACAGGTTCTGCAGGGTTGGACCTCAATGGGCAGGCCGCCCCTGGTCGAAGATTTGTCATGCAAATGCCATGCACGCACGGCCGGCAGAGCGCAAATGCTTTCCCAGATAGCGCTTGCTGCGAACGCTCTCTGTCCAAAAACAGGGCACGAACCCTAGCTTCCAAGAAGGCTGCACGTTCCAAGCATTTGAATACCTACGAAAGAAGAAATCTGCTCTCCGCATTGGTTTACGTCTGGCAGTTACGACCCAGTTGGAATTGTGAACCTGTGCAAAGTTATGCTTTTGCTCACCCTGTACTTCTTGCCTGAACTGACAACCTCACTGGCTCGAGTTCGTCCTAAAGCGGTTGAGCGCGGCATAGTCTCGACATAGACCCGAGACTGGGAACAAGGCGAGCCCTCGTGTTTCGGTAAAAAAACAAGAGGGCTCCAAGTGCCAAACCAACAAAGGACACCTAGAATACCAGAGCGAATAACCGAGGAATAAGTGAAACCACCCGAGATTCTTTTGACGTGCAACCGAAATCTCGGTTACACGGCGGCAACGATGGGCCTCCGTCATGTTGCGGGCACCTTAACAGGGACATTAACCTGCCGCCTGGAGATCCGTAAGCCCGTATTTTATATATGGTTCTATTGTATCCACCTTTCCCTTTAATTCCGTTTCCTCAATCTTGGAGTTTGGGTAGACATTACTAGAAAACCCAACAAACCACTCGAGCACCTCCGCTGCATGACTGAGGGGTGCAATTCGGCGAATGGTCCCGCGTGGCTCAAATATCAAGCGGTCGCCCCTCCGTTCGTGCGGTCTTAGATTGAACCACAACACCAGTCCCAGCACGCTCGGTCAACGCAATTTTTTCTGCACGCGAGTCTCTCCACGGACCTCCACTGCCGTTGCGCGAACGCTAGTGACGGACACTTCGGTGCATCTGCGTCCCCGCATATCAAACTAGGGGCACCTCCACCCTCGCCACAAGCACAAGCCACAGATGTATCGGTAAGAGAAATGAGCCCAATGCTCGAGTCTCTTCCAGTTACCAAAGCCCTTTCATGACACGCAGTCATTTCATTGGTGCTGTCTTTGAGGTAGACCGCACGTGAATGTTGCACTATCTTCTGAGCACTGCACAGTTTGCCCCAAACCAGACCATTGCTCTGCATCATGCATGTTCAACCACTTCTACTGTTCCCTCCCGGTTAATCGTAAAAATATCAAGAGCTGCAGATTTTACTTAGCCAAGCTCTGCATCATTATTTGTTGAAGGAAGGATATGAGTGCAGTCGTTACAATATACTTACAGTGAAATACTACTCGAACAAACTTTGAGGGACCTCTGGAAAAAGTTTCTATAATTGAAAGTTCACTCAACCAAATGCATTGGGCACAATGGGGTCTTGTTAAAAAGAATTCAACAATAGTGTGTTTAAGTGGAATTTGTTTATGTGGTATTTCACTGTATGTTTTGAAAGAAAGAGAGAGAGCGAGAGTAATAAAAAGACCCACTTTTTGACGGGTGCGAATGCAAAGTGCTGACACGGGGACATGTTCCGGGGGCTGTCGAGGGGGCTGCCTGTGTGGAGAGAGATGCGTGCGGTTGGGGTCAGCCACGGGGTGTCAGGGGTGTCGCGTGTTGGGGCACTCACTCTGGGGAATCGGGGAGTGGCACCGGGGGAGGGTGGGCGACGTGTTGCAGATGAGGCTCTTGCGCGCGGAGCACCGACTGAAACGGCAAGCAATCGACCCCGCACACTTCAGCTGCCCCACCCAATCATCTCTCAGACACAAGACTCCAAACTGGGGAACAAACACCGTCGGCACATAATGTCACAAGAAGCCGACAAGTGCAAAAGGCCTCTCGTCGGAGACAGTCGACGCGCCGCTTGTAGAGCGCCTGAATGTCTCATGAGTCATTATGTTTGCACTATCGTGTTTACCAAACGAGCAAAGATAAACAAAGAGAAAACTTCATACAGCCAGTTTGTAATATTAAACGGAATAAATTAGAGAGTGAATCAGTGAGAAGAAATCAAAGGCCCTACCCAGCTGAGATTGCACTCCAAAGTCCACACAAAATATTATTCCATACTGAGATCCAGCAAATCTGTTGTGGGTCCCGCATCACCTGACAGCAACAAAAGGCTTTTTGCTTCCTCGTTCAGCATACAGCACTACTTGACACGAGCATATGCAAGTGGACAGCGAGCAGCACCGGCTAGTTGAGGCAGCTTGGCGACCTCACCTCAACTGCAAGCTTCAAATCTCCCACCTAAGTAAAGGGATTGTCACCATAATCTTTGGAATAAAGAGTGCACACAAAGGCCTAGTCTAAGTTTTGGTGGAAAGTAGAGGGGCTCCCAGGCGTCTCTTTAGTGCGAAAAAAGCTTTCAAGCTCGTCCATTAACTGTGGAAGTACACAAAAGAAAAAGGGATAGGGTGAAGGCAATGCTTCATGGACTTGGTGCTTCGAAGGAGAGGTAAATCAAGCATCAATCAATTGAGGTCTCGAGATAATTTGACATGAACAAACTAGCCCGACTCACCTGCCTCGCCTGGGGACATTCAACTCTTTCTGCAAAGACAGAAAAAAAAAAGTTTTTTTTAGAAACAGCAATATAAAAACAAACAATAATGACAGGTACAAACACAACGGAAGAAAGATTTCAGTAAAAATTTGATCAACTGGTTGACCAAGTAAGAATGTGGAAAACAGTGGCTATCGCAAAAGACATGCAAAAAGGACCCTCATACAATTTTTTAAGGTCCTATACTTAGCATCAACTTATCGGTGCTATACTATCAAGGCTAGCGTTGCTACCGCAATGCTCAAACTCTGTCAAAGTGTATGAGCAAATGAGGCGCAACACGAGGCAACGTGCTCAGCAGTGCAGGGCTGCAGCACTGTGGAGGCTATGCTAGCCTGGACAGTGTAGCACCAAATGGTTGACGCCGAGCATAAGAAAAGTTACTTCCTTTGGGGTCACTGAAAATGTGGGTATAAGTGTCAAAATAATATTTTGGCATCTCTTAAAATGTTTTAGTACGATGGTTTCAGGCAGCCAAAGCATAGACGCACATAAATACCCCAATAATAACTACAGCAATGCCTTTAAAGCATTACATAATTTAGAATTCTAATGGGCCTGCAAGCATGGGTGTACCAACCAGCGGGTCAAGGGGGCATTGCCCTCCTAGTTCTCAGAGTGGGGGGGGGGCAAGGCATGTCTTTTGCCCCCCTCTGAAACAGCCGCCACTGGCCACTGGGCAGGGGCAAGCACTGGCTGGCGGCGCCCAAGGTATACCAAGGGCACTGCCCCCCTGCCCCGGAGGGAAGTGGGGGGGGGGGGGGGGAGCTGGTTGGTTTCCCCACTCAAAAAGAAGTTGGTACGCCACTGGCTGCTAGTCTTAATTTCTGAAGATAGATGTAATAAGTGTATTACTAGCAAAATGTCAACTGTCATTGCATAGTAGAATAAACTAGTTATGCTCCATGCACAAACATGGGCAGAGATAACAAGAGCATGGCTCAATCAGCAGATCTGGGTCCTTTTCTACACCACCAGCATGCAAGAACACTTCCATATAGCCAGACTAGAGCTGTGGTAGTCCATTATTTTCCCAGCAGTGAGATCCCAGTGGCTTAGCTGGGCGGCCCTGCAAGCTCTCCGAAGCACCCCTCTGCCAGCCTTGTGGGAGAGCATTTCTATGCTGGGCCTATGTGCTATAGGGATTCCCTCCCTCAGCAAGGATGATTGCTGGCAAGGGGGTCCCTCTCCAGGCATCCAGTCAATGTTCCCCTTTGTCCAGCTTAAAAGGGAGCACAGTGAAGCACTCATTCCCGTCGCTGAACGGAGAACAACTAGCCCAAGAGGAATGCGACCTCCCTCCGTAAGATTCTATACCAGCTCTCCTCACACCAGAGCGAGGCAGGGACTGCCAAGGATCGTGATCAGGAGCCCATACCCTGGTCACACTGCACCAATTCAGCCGAACAGCTGAATTGGTGCCAAGAAAAAGTGCCAAGAGTGATTCTTCTAAGACACAATTTCGAACAAAAGCTGTTGAGAATTTATGAAGAAAGGAAGAAGTAGGGAAAACTGATGGACAACTTGCGTAATTCATCCGAGACTGGTAAACAAAATACAAGAGGACAGCTAAGACTGCTTACATGTAGGAATGCAAAACATTTATATACACAGTGTACTCCTACAAGCAGTGCACCCCACTATCCTTTGCAAAGGCTGGCTGGGCTCTGGGTAGCGGTGGGTGAGCACTGCTGTGGCGGCGTCACATGGAAGCGTCGCCAGGGGTGTGGGGTGGCGTCCCTTAAAACTGCAGTAATGTTTGGAGGTGGGCTAGTCGGTGATGCATTGTAATTTCATTTCAGCGCTGTGTCTGTGTCCCTTCTTCTACTCGTCCTTGTGTTCGTTTGCGCTGTTTTATTTCTATGTTTACAATTCCTTAAAACTATCAGGCGTGTGGGCCGCGTCGCAGCCAAAGCCGTTAAGGCTCTGGCCTCGTTGCAGAAGAGCCGTTACGGCGCGGAGGGAATTTCTCTGCCGTTTTTTGCGGTTACGGACAACGCCGGCTCCACTCCATGGAACAGTTAATGCTTTCGCATTAAAAGATGGACAAGCAAAGCACGCACAGCATCGAAATAGAGAGACGGTGCGTGGGATTCACCATTTCTACATTGTCCAAGCCTGGGATACAGGATAGGATGGACTCATTGAAACAGGAATTGAGCTTACAATTATGGCAAATCTAATGAAGCCGCTATCAGTATCCGACAGCTTGCACAGCCAATACGCGTTACAAGAACCACAAAGGTTCAAATCACCCCAAACTGTGGCGACCGTCATCTCTGAAATTAGACACCTTGCGACTGGGGACAAGGAGCTTAATTGGCGTTAAGCTCCTTGTGACACATGGCCGGAATGCCCCGACACTCGTGTGTCGAACAAACGCGAGACCCAGTGCAGCCTACCCTAGTTAGCATCGCTGCATTCTCTCGTGCGGAAAAACGCTCGGGGTTGCCTCGATGCGCAGCATGCGGCTGAGGTCTCCCAAAACCGGGTCGCCCCACCTGGCAGCAGTGCCAAGTGTGCGCAGATCGCGCGACCCAGACCCGAGTTTACCGCCGGAGCCGTGTAGGGTTCGCTGTGGCGGGTCCGCTCACCTTGAGCTGGAGCACCGACGACAGGTTGATGGGCAGGGCTAGGGTCAGGCTCCGCTTCCTGAGCAACGATTCGCTCGCGCTGCGGCAGATGCCGCTCACGCCGAGCTCGGGGTCGTCGGACGACGCACCGTCGCCCGCGAGCGCGTCGCCAACGTCGCGACGACCGGTCATCGGGGGCGAGTTGTTGTTGTTCCACTTGTTCATGGCCGATGTGTCCAGACGTCCGCCGCAAAACAGGCGGTCTACCACGCGACTCGTGTCCGCAAAGTCGCCGGCATCGTAGACGTCGAGACGCCGGTCGGGCTCGCCTGCTGGTTCCCCGGTAAATAAACTCGCATTCGTTGCAGCGCAGATAGAGTATTTGGACGCGTGTAGAAACGAGCTACGCTCGAAAAGGCAGGATCGTAGGGGGCGCGAGGCTACGGTCAACCGACGACACGCCAAAACAGCGCGCCGCTCTATCGATCGATCCTCGGGAAATTAACGAATCGACGAAAACAGGACGCGGTGTCTGCTTCTTCGGAGCTTCTTTGCGAGACAGCGTGGAAACGAAGCGGCACTGTCAGAGTCTTCCAGCCGGCACGGGGAGGAGAGGCGGACTCGAGCGAGACGACGAAGAGAAGCCCGACGGCTGCGGCGAACGCGGCAGCAGCCGCGGCATCGACGCGGCAATAAAGAAACATCGATCGAGGCGAGAACCGCCTCATCGGAAGCATGTTGCTATCTGCAAGGTCGCTCGACCGATCGCCGCTAGCACGGGCCGACCAGGAACCCGTTTCCGATAGGGCTCGAGAAAAAAAGGGACACGAGAATAGCTCGAGGAGCATTAGAGAAACCCGAGATTGTCATTTTTCTTTTTTTTTTTTTGGTTCGCTCGTTGCCGGCTCTTTTTGCCTCCCGATTGCCCGCAGCTTATTTACACGTATGCCGAGCGAGCCAGCCGACGGGAGTTTCTGAACGGGCGGGGGAGGCTGGCGGAAAGACTACAGCGCAGTAGAAACATGGTCGCAGTGGCGCTGCCGCAACGAGTAGTTGCATCCAACGTCGGGGAAAAAAAAAAAAAAGAGGCGAAATTTGAGAAGAAAACGACCGCTTATCTGGGAGGGGGGGACGCTCGGAAATCGGAGGCCGGGGATGGACGAGGGTGGAGGAGATCGGAGGCAACGTCCGCCCACACTAGGTCATCGTGATCCGGAGCGACGAGTGCGGACTCCAGAAGACACTCCACCGCCGCGCTCCACCCACACCAACGCCGTCCAAGGTGATGCACATCGTCCCAAACCGTGGGCCGCTCTCTCCTACTCTCTTGTTTCTCCGCGAGCTCGCTCAGCTCGTCACGCCGGAGGCCCGTAGGCCCGTGGTCCGAACCGTGGGCACCCGAGAAAACCGCACGCAGACAGCTTTTTCGCAGACGTCCGTGCCGCTGCTGCGGAACTCTCCTGGCGACGAGAGTAGTTGCACAAGGCACAAAGGGAGAGGAGGGTAAAAAGAGCGAGGGAGAAAGCAATGAACGAAAGTCACGTGCGACGACGCCCTTTCTTTTTGTTTTGACTCTTCCTCGTCGTTTTCCTCTTTTTTTTTCTGTTTTCTTTTTCCCCACCCCCGGAGGCTGCTTTATGCTTTTTCATACCGCGTTCGTTCCAGCTGATCCAAAAAGAAAACAGACGCACACACACGGAGAATGTGACGTCACGACCGTATTAGCCGGCGTTTTGTAGACATGCGCACAAAACCGGTCAATGGCTGCCCTCTTCCAGGAGCGGGAACAATCGAAGCCGCCGTTTCTCCATCTTCCCATTCCTCGGTGGTGCATCAGCCGTGTGCCTTTTTTCTTGCTCTCTTTGCTCTTTGAATGTCTCGTTCCTCGCCTGCCGAGAAATCTTCCGTTTCCTTCGGAGGAACTTTTCAAAATAACCGTTTCATCATCCTAACCAGAGGAAGGAAGGCGTGGAGAAGGGAATTCCCAGAGAGGGCCGCACTTTCTCTGTAGCTCGTTTCAAAAACGACCTCGGCCGAACCCCCGCCCTGCCCTTCCCCCGCATGGGCACAGCCGCTACAGCACAGCGTGTGTTGTCGTTTGATGCCCCGCGCTGCATTGAGTAAACGCTAAGAAAAGTATAGCTGACCAGTGGCAAACGGGTGCAACACTGGGGAACTCTTCGCAGACATTTGAATAAAATACGTAGGTAAGTATAAATATCTAGGAGTATGGACTATATAAGGGTTAACAGAAAAAAAAATTGCTAAAGAAAGGAAAAAGGAACGCAGAAATTATGAAGCATGGCGAACTATGGAATTAAAATAGACATGAGGTTGCTAGGGGAATATGGAAAGAAAAAAAAATATATGTCCAGTTGACTTTAGAGACCTGGCAGAGGAGCGTGGGCAGACCG